TACAGACTAGGGACCGAGTGGCTAGGCAGCAGTTCTGCAGAAAAGGACCTAGGGGTTACAGTGGACAAGTAGCTGGATATGAGTCAACAGTGTGCCCTTGTTGCCAAGAAGGCTAACGGCATTTTGGGCTGTATGAGTAGGGGCATTGCCAGCATATCGAGGGACGTGATCGTTTCCCTCTGTTCGACATTGGTGAGGCCTCACCTGGAGTACTGTGTCCAGTTTTGGGCCCCACACTACAAGAAGGATGTGGAAAAATTGGAAAGAGTCCAGCGGAGGGCAACCAAAATGATTAGGGGGCTGGAGCACATGAATTATGAGGAGAGGCTGAGGGAACTGGGATTGTTTAGTCTGCAGAAGAGAAGAATGAGGGGGGATTTGATAGCTGCTTTCAACTACCTGAAAGGGGGTTCCAAAGAGGATGGATCTAGACTGTTCTCAGTGGTACCATATGACAGAACAAGGAGTAATGGTCTCAAGTTGCAGTGGGGGAGGTTTAGATTGGATATTAGGAAAAACCTTTTCACTAGGAGTGGTGAAGCACTGGAATGGGTTACCTAAGGAGGTGGTGGAATCTCCTTCCTTAGAGGTTTTAAGATCAGGCTTGACAAAGTCCTGGCTGGGATGATTTAGTTGGGATTAGGTCCTGCTTTGAGCAGGGGGTTGGACTAGAAGACCTCCTGAGGTCTCTTCCAACCCTGATATTCTATGATTCTAAATTGTCCACAGTACTAAGTGCAGTATCATTATCTGAATAGAACAGAACTCTCACTCCAGAGTAAGCCATGCTGCAGATGGAAGCGAACACTATGAAATAGTTTGGAATGGCAAGCTCTCTGTTTGAAGTCCTGATTTACTGCATGTCCACAAAACCCAGTTCAAGTATTTATAACTTCATAAAGTTATTTTTTCAAATTCTCATGACTTATTGGGAACTTGTGCTGCTCGATTTGAATATGTGATGGCTGCACTATGAAAATGTAACTGTAAAGGGCAAAAATGCCAAATTTAAAGTAAAAAAGTGCAAAAGAGAAATTAAAAAAACAGCAGAAAGTATTTTACAGAAACCAAAAGGTTTTCCAGTGGCCTGACACCAAGAAAGGAAGCTTCAGGTCAGAAGGAATTTGGGGTTTTTAAGAGTGTTGTGGAGCGAAACTAGTAAATTATAATGAAAGTCATTTTGCAGTGTTAGCTATAACAGCAGTTTCTCCCAGGCAAGCTGTAATCAATTAGTAAAATGTCAGAAAGAAAATAATTCAGGAGACTTGTTTTTCAGAAAAGAACACTCGAGCCAGGCAGGAGTCGAACCTACAATCTTCTGATCCGTAGTCAGACGCGTTATCCATTGCGCCACTGGCCCTGAATATTGGCTTTTGATTATGAATAGAGAGACATATAGTATTATTCTACCCAAACTTATAAATATGGCATTAGGGTAACAGTATACAGAGGCTAGGTCTATATTACAAACTTACATCAGTAGAACTACATCACTCCTGATTGATTCAGTTATACCAACCTAATCTCCAGTGTAAAGAGTGCTATGTTGACAGGAGAAACGCTCCCATCAACATAGCTATCGCCACTTGCTAAGGTGGATTAACTACACTGACAGGAGAAGCTCTCCTGTTGGCATAGTAATGTCTTCATTACAGCTGCACTGAGCCAGCCTTTTAAGTTTAAACCTGCCTTTAGGGTGGATAATGTAGAAGGGAGCATGAAGAGCTAGAGGATACTTATATAGTATCAAAAGTGTGGAAGGTTATTTAAAGGCAAATATGAGATCAGCTCTTTGCCCCAAAGAGCTTGCAATCTAAACAGCTGATCTTACAGAGGGGTCTGCAAAAGCAGACACTAGGGGCTTAGCTAGACTACTACTTTAATTATGCTGGGGGGTCAATACCAGCATAATTAAAGGAGGTAGGATATGACCCCACCTACTGTGAGCACAGTTATACTGCTATAAAAGTGCTTTGTAGCGGTATAGCTTTTTCCATATGGAAAGGGGAATAACTATACTGGCATAAGTCATATGGGATGCATCAGGCGAGGTATTTCCAGTAAAGATAAGGAGGTGTTAGTACCGTTATACAAGGCACTGGTGAGACCTCATCTGGAATATTGTGTGCAGTTCTAGTCTCTCATGTTTAAGAAGGATGAATTCAAACTGGAACAGGTACAGAGAAGGGCTACTAGGATGATCTGAGAAATGGAAAACCTGTCTTATGAAAGGAGACTCAAAGAGCTTGGCTTGTTTAGCCTAACCAAAAGAAGGCTGAGGGGAGATATGATTGCTCTTTATAAATATTTCAGAGGGATAAATATCAGGGAGGGAGACGAATTATTTAAGCTTAATACCAATGTGAACACAAGAACAAATGGATATAAACTGGACATTAGGAAGTTTAGACTTGAAATTAAACAAAGGTTTCTAACCATTAGAGGAGTGAAGTTCTGGAACAGCCTTCCAAGGGGAGTAGTGGGGGCAAAAGACATATCTGGCTTCAAGACTAAGCTTGATAAGTTTATGGAGGGGATGGTATGATAGGATAGCCTAATTTTGGCAATTAATTGATGGTTGATTATTAGCAGGTAAATATGCCCAATGGTCTGTGATGGGATGTTAGATGGGGTGGGATCTGAGTTGCTACAGAGAATTCTTTCCTGGGTGCTGGCTGGTGACTCTTGCCCACATGCAGGGCCGGATCTAGCATTTTTGCCGCCCCAAGCAGACAAAAAAAAAAAAAAAGCGCCGCGATCGCCAGCAGGTCCTTCGCTCCGAGAGGGAGTACCGGCCCCTCCTCTGAATTGCCGCCGAACGACCGGACGCGCCGCCGCCCTCTTCATTGGCCGCCCCAGGCACCTGCTTGCTATGCTGGTGCCTGAAGCCGGCCCTGCCCACATGCTCAGGGTTTAACTGATTGCCATATTTGGGGTTGGAAAGGAATTTTCCTCCAGGGCAGATTGGCAGAGGCCCTGGAGGTTTTTCGCCTTCCTCGCAGCGTGGGGCACGGGTCACTTGCTAGAGGATTCTCTGCACCTTGAGGTCTTTAAACCACGATTTGAGGACCTCAATAACTCAGGCATAGGTTAGGGGTTTGTTATAGGAGTGGGTGGGTGAGGTTCTGTGGCCTGCGCTGTGCAAGAGGTCAGACTAGATGATCATAATGGTCCCTTCTGACCTTAATGTCTATGAGTCTATAAGTCACCACTACAATCATGTCCAGGGTAGGGCTTTGATTGGTATATTGGTAAATTGTTATACCACTACAAAAGCTCTGTGTAGGCCAGGCCTTACTCCCACCCAGAAATCCATGGCAGCCCAAGGGATACTGCACAGGACAGGAGTAAGGGCTCTTCCTTCAAAGGACCGGACGCAGTGAAAGGCAAGTGCTAAAACAATGGTCCGCACGTGAGAATTTGGAGCCGTGATTTAAAAAAACCTATCTTGACAAACACTTGTCAACTCTGTGGGGCAGATGAAAACATGGGCCCTGCAAACCCAACAAGGGGGAGAAAGACAGAGCTGAGCTGTGGAGAAGCAGAGGCAGCGCTGGGGGTAGGGCGCGGGAGTACTGCCAGGGCTGTCAGACCATACGGCGCAGGAGTCAACAAAACATCAGCCTTGGGGTAGTGAGGGCCAGGGCAGGGATGAGAGAGGAAGGGCGGAGGTGGTGGGGGCAGGGAAAGAGCCGCGAGAGCGGGCAGAGGCTGGGGTCTTTCTCTTCCCCCAGCTTTCCTGCCCCTGGGGAAGCGCGCTCCGGAGCCGCGGGTGCGGGACTCGCTGGGCCAGTGGTGCAGTTAGCGAGTCTGAGACCGTGAGTCTGACCACGCGCCGAGCGGAGCCCGTGGCAAGTAGCGGGCCTTGGCCCTGATGCTTCTGCTCCATCTTGCACCGCTCAGTTGTGGTGCGCATGCTCGGAGTTAGAACTCGCTCGTCTGAGACTCTTGTATGTGTCTGGGGCAGTTTTTTCCATGTCCCTTCGATAGCTCAGCTGGTAGAGCGGAGGACTGTAGAGGAACTGCCTGCGGGAATCCTTAGGTCGCTGGTTCGATTCCGGCTCGAAGGAGACTAAGTTTTTATTTTCTCTCTCTTCATATTTTGAATGGTTTTGTTCCCAAGATTCAGTTACTAGAGGAGGGAGGCGCGCGGAAACCGCCCCTGCGCAGGTAGCATCCCTGGCCCGGCCACTGCCTGCTCTGACACCGAACTGGGAGCCAGGTGCGGGGCCGGGTGGTTCCTGCCTTCCCCCCGGAAGCCTGGTCACGCCTGCCCGCCCAGCCCCGGTCACTGCCCGCGCTCAGGCGCGGGCGGGCTGCCGCGCACAGCGGTGGTGCAGGCCAGGCTAAAGCAGCGTGACCCACCTTCCCCCTTGGGGGGTCCCCAGGGGCAGTTATCCACCTCTTGCCTTTCATCTCTAGGGCCCTGAGCCACGTTGTTTTATGGACAGTCCCTGAACAGGCTGCAAAGGAGCAGGCCCTTGGGTGCTTTCAGCCTGTGGGGGTTTCTTGTTACTGTGATTAGGTTTGTTACAGAGCAGTAGGCAGCGCTAGAACTGTACATGGAGCATTACCAAAATAGCCAGGCTGTACTGATTAGTTAGTATGTGACCTAGAAATCTAGCTAAAACTACATCATCTTGCCTGGCTGTATCCAGCACCGTGGTAAAGAATCCCCTTCATAGTCATTTATAATTTGTCTAATACAAATTATACCCCAAAAATCATCATTTTCTTTCCATCCCCAAATAGGGTAATAATGTGCCAGATGTCACCCAAGTAACAGTAAGTGGCTCTGCTTGATGCTACATAGTTTTTGTACCAGCACACTTATTTTGGCTAGTTTATGGTGTTTACTGAAATAGTTATACTCAGGGCGGCTCCAGGCACCAGTGAAGGAAGCAGGTGCTTGGGGCGGCCAATGGAAAGGGGCGGCACATCCGGGTCTTCGGCGGCGGGTCCCTCAGTCCCTCTCAGAGCGAAGGACCCACTGTCAAATTGCCGTCGAAGAATGAAGCGGCGCAGTTGAGCTGCCGCCAAAGTGCCTCCAATCGCAGCTTTATCTTTTTTTTTCCGCTTCGCTGGTTGGGGTGGCAAAAAAGCTGGAGCCGGCCCTGGTTATACAATATAATCTCTGCAGCTAGATGTGTAATTTCCAGCTCAACTAGATATATATGTGCTAGCTTTAATCAAGCTAGCATGCTAAAAATAGCCTGTGTGGTTCACAATATAGGCTAGCCACCAGAGTATGTAGTTAGGGTACCTGGGACGGCCAGCCTGTCTCACTGCCCCCACAGCCACATGCATATATGTGCTCAGGCTGGAAATTACATCTCCAGCTCAAGGGTAGGCATATCCTCATTCCCTGTGGTAGGAGGGCTTCCAACCTGATTTTGCTATTCATGGAAGCCCCAAGAGAGAGCAACTCCTAATAGCAGCTGGGAGGGAAATCACCCACAAAATACATCTGGTTTGGTTCTCAAGGATTCAGCAGTTCTTAAAATTATTTGCATATGTTCAGAGAATATTTCATCTTGCAACATGTGCAGGAGCCTGTGCCAAACCTGGTCAAATATAAGGAGATCTTATGGGTTAAGCATTAGCATAACACTCAGAAAATCTATGTTCAGTTCTGCCTCAGAATTCTTTTATGACCATGGGAAAGACATTAAACTTCTTATCCTACCATATATGTATACACTGCAATGAGGAGCCTACTAGATCAAAGCTACCTCAGGTATGTCTACATGTGCTGCAATCACACCTCCCAGTTGCTGTATAGACATAAAGCTGTGGGGATAAATTCATGAATGCCATTGATGCTCAGATCAAACATTAGGAGTAGGGAAATGATTTTACCTCTGTCTATGACATTAGTGAGACCAGTACTAGAATACTGCACACAGTTCATGGGTCCACATTTGAAAAATCAGAGAAGGTGCAAAAAGATATATAAAAATAATTTGAGGGCTAGGGAAAATGCTGTATAAAGACTTAAAGACCACAAACTGTTTAGCTTATCAAAAAAAATAGAGAGGGGACTTGATTACAGACTTTAAATATCTTTACAGGGAGAACATTCCAGGTACAAAAGGCCTCTTTAATCTAGCTCAGAAAGGGATACCAAGAACAAAAGGCTGGAAGCTGAAGCCAGACAAACTCAATTGAGAAATAAGACACAATTTTTTGAATAGTGAGGTTAATTAACCATTGAAAAAAACTTACAAGAAAAGTGCTAGATTCTTCATCTCTCAATATCTTCAAATCAAGACTGGATAGCTTTCTAGAATGTATGCTTTAGAAAAACACAATTTACTGGTCTTACTGGGATAACTGGATGAACTTAAAAAGCCTGTGATATATAAGGAAGTCAGACTAGTTGATCTATCCCTTCTGGCCATACTATCTGTTAACTGTTGTATGCCAGTTTTTATTTGTTTTCCTGGGAAAGGTAATTTATGCTTTTCTCCTTCTTTAGCTGAAGTCCAAGATATTTTTTTGACTGCAAACAGAGCAGTATGTGGTAGGATGCAGTGGACCTGTAGCATCTTTGAAGAAAAAACGTGCAAACTATATTCTGCTATGTACACTGTACTTGCTGAGTGGAGGTCCTTTCCAAGGTGTTGTGTAAGTAAGTATGAAGGTAATTTGTTATACACTATAAAGATGAAATCTCTGGACGAGGTTTGTGGAGTTATGACAGGGTAGGGTGGAATTGGCTCAAGTGACCAAAGGCTTCCTTATTATATAAATAATAACAGGATTGGTGCCTGCATTCTCTAAGATGTAGGGTTTTTTTTTCTTCTCTCCTCTTATTTTCTTCTACCTTGTATCTCTTCGGTTGCTGGTTTGACTGCAGCTTGAAGGAAATTTTTGCCTTCGCTGCACACTCTTCTTTCGAGCTTGGATTGTGGCCATTACCATATTTTATTCATTTCATGGGCCACTGGCAACTGGAAACGTACTTGAGTTAAAACACAACTTTCAACTACTTTCATCTGCCACACCTGCTTCTGAGTACTTGGACACCTTTTATAGGCAGAGTTCCTTTTTCTTTGCCCTCCCGCACCCACAGTGCAAGCAGTATCGATTTTAAGGCTTAGAAGTTCCATTCATTATCGCCCTCATCTTGGGGCAAATTTGATACAAAATAGACTGGCCATACTAATTACTGTAGCATGGCTATACTTCATGGAGTCTCTGGCTTCTCTCCACTGTTGGCTTAGATAAAAGCTGTTTGCTTTTGTTTTTCTCCCACTTGTTTTTGTTGGGTTTTTTTTTTTCTGAGTGGTAGGTTAGAGGTGCAGGGGAGTTAGGTTTTGCTGCCTGGGAAGAAGCAGAATGGGGGGTGAGCAAAAAGCCTGCTGCTGTGTGCTGTTATTGTAAAAATTGTAGCAATGTGTTTGTTTTTGAGAGTGTTTCAAACATTAGATTCCATTTTGTCTACCTTTCATCCGTGAGCTCTATTAATCAAGTACTGGCAGGAAGCAATTCCATTTCCCTGAGTCTTGGGTTTTTGTCCATCACATTGGTAGTGTACGTATTTATTTTTACCACTGTCATTGCTCAATGTACGTAAAACCTTTCTGGTTGAGAATGGTTACAAGCCCCAGCTCAAGGATTTTCTTGTAATGAGTTACTGGACTATCCCATAGATAATCTGAAGAGTTGCTGCCCTTGCCCTATGCAATGAATACACAGGCAGGCAGGCAGCTTGTCCAATTTACTTTGGAATTTTTTCTCTTCTTCTCATTAAACTGAGGTACTAGGTATAGTTAAGGCTAAGACCAGCTTTCTGTTTAAAGGGCAGCTCTGCTAAGTGCTCTATAATTGACATGCTTACTTGGTTTGCCTTGACATTTGGTGTGTTTCAGGGGGTGCTATGCTCTGTTAATGATCCAAATTTGGTGCCCTTTGACTAAGGAGTTCTTGATATACAAGAATTTAGGAAGCAAATAGAGACATAATTGTAGCTATAGGCAATAGCATACACATTGGGCAGCTAGTTACTTGCTGCTGCTGACCTTAAAAGCAGGCCTGCTGGCTTCCTTCAGCCAATCAGGCAGGCTGATTAATCAGGTGGTCCTACCGCAACCCAGCTGAGCAAATTAATCCACCTGGAGAGGTTGACCTGGCTAGTTTTAAGGCTCAGCAGAAAGAACTTGCTGCTGTGGTGATCTTGACAAGGCAACCTTATTTTGCTCACACAGGTAGAGCTTAAACCAGGACTCAGACCACACCAGAGTCTCCAATGCTTGGGGGTTACCCCAACAGAGTGCATGGCACTTGCTAGTCCATGAGGGAAGATCAATTAAAGTATAATTTTGAAAAGATGTTCTTTCTCCAGTTAGGTTTGTTATGAGCCTCATGTGCTTATTCACATACCTAATAGATATCACTGATCATAACTATCAGAAGCTAACTATCTGGAAAACTATTTCTTCATCACAGGACCTGGCAATGTGTGCGTTTCAATGGTTTGCTCTCTCTTTGTCCATCTTTCCTCAGCATCATAGAGCTCAATTGATGGAGTAGTGTGAGGTTCCATTTCTTTCCGTTCGGGGCTTTTGTCCATCCCATTTGTAGAGCTGGGATTTCTTTGGGCAACCGTGATTGCACATAGTGTGTAAAAGGCTTCTGGTGGAGAATTGCTACAAGCTCGAGCTGTGCGCTGATTACGCGGGCAGAGAGGCAACTGGTCCCTTTTCCTTTGCAGTTTTTGCTCTTCTTGTTGTCATGAACAGAGGTGTTAGGTATGGGTGCGTGTGCAAGGCAGGGGCGTTTGTATGTTTCTCTGATGGTCTCTGGAAAGGTGTATTTTTTTGAAAGTTAAGGAACCGGGAACAGCGTAGTTTGCTCTGTCCCCTTTCCTTGTTGAGTTGAGGTACTTTCGTATTCTTAGTTCCTTTGGTTTGGGGTGTTTGTCGTCCTCCTGGTATGTGCTCTGAGCTGTAATCTCTGCTTAGAGTAGGAGTCCATTTCTATGTCTCATCTTCAGGGTGAAGAGAGCATAAGAACAACAAGAGTCTTTAATCCTTTTGTTGACAGGTTCTCTATGAAAATGTATTGAATTTCCAGTTATAGGAGGGAAACTGAGTCTAGACAGAAATAATGGGTCTCCTATTGGGAAGGTGTAACAATTTCAGTAGAAGAGCATCTCTTCACACTAATTAATGTTCCGCTTCTCTATGATTATTCATACAGTGACAGAGGCTCACAGTACAACCACACACATCAGGTTGTAATTTGGAATACAGATATTAGAATTAAGATTAATGCATGGAGCAAATCACAAGCATTCAATAGAGTGTAAACTCTGTACACTTGCTCATAATTCTAATACCTGTTTTATCAATATTAACTTACAAGTCAGACAGACAGCTTCCAGCTATGCATCATTGAGTGTTCAGTGTAAACTTTGTGACCTTAGTTTGAGCTGGCACCTGGCTTCCCAGTTTCACAAAAGCTAGCATCAGAGTCAATTAAGTGATGATTAAGAATGATCATAAGAACACTGCATTGCGATGTTAATCTGATTTCATTTTGTTGTGTGGGCAAGGAGCCATATCTAGAGCTAATTTCTGTGGACTGGATCATTCCTTCTGTATCTGTGAGTGGAGGTGACTAAGGCCATGTCTATACGTACAGCGCTGAAGTGGCACCACTGTGTTGGTACGGTTAGGGTATGTCTACACTGTCAGAGTTAGAGCACCAACAGTTACAGAGCTGTTCAGAGAATGCTGAAGGGAAACCACTGTCGTGTGTTCACACTATCAGTTGCCTGTGCAATAGCGTGTTCACACTTGCGGCACTTGCATCAGTATTCGGAGCAGTGCACTCTGGGCAGCTTCCCACAGAGCATCTCTTCCTCTTTTGACACTAAGGGTTCTGGGAAGGCGGAGAGGGTCACGGGGCATCCTGGGTCCTGTCCCAATGCCCTGCGATGCATTGCTTTGCAACCCAGCAGTCCCTGTGCTTTCGTCCGCATTTAGCGCCATATTTCAATGGTTTGTGTACTGCGCGTTCTGCCTCTTCGGTCTGCAGAAATGGATCCCGCACTGTTGACCAGTATGCTGCTTACTCTGACTAACACGTCACGAGTGGCAGTGGAGTTATTCCTTAAACTACAAAGGCAAGAGGAGTGCGACATTGATCTCACCATGCATAGTAGCTACGACACGAGATTGCTTGTTGCATTCACAGAGGTGCTGACCACAGTGGAACACTGCTTTTAGGCTGGGGAAACCAGCACTACGTGGTGGGATCACATCATCATGCACGTCTGGGATGAACAGTGGCTGCAGAACTTTCAGATGAGGAAAGCCACATTCATGGGACTATGTGATGAGCTCGCTCCAGCCCTGCGGCACAAGGACACGAGAATGAGAGCTGCCCTGCTGTTGGAGAGGCACATGGCGATTACACTGTGGAAGCTGGCTACTCCAGACTGTTACCGATCAGTCGCTAACCAGTTTGGAGTGGGAAAGTCAACCGTTGGACTCGTGTTGACGGAAGTGTGCAGGGCCATTAATTGCATACTGCTCCAAAAGACCGTGACTCTGGGCAATGTGTGTGACACTGTGGATGGCTTTGCACAAATGGGCTTCCCTAACTGTGGAGGGGGATAGACGGCACGCATATTCCAGTTCTGGCACCAGATCACCTAGCCACTGAGTACAGTAATCGGAAGGGGTATTTCTCTGTGGTTCTCCAGGAGCTTGTGGATCACCGGGGGCGTTTCACGGACATTAACACTGGCTGGTCTGGAAAGGTGCCTGACGCACTCATCTTTCAGAACACTGGCCTGTTCAGGGAGCTGCAAGCAGGGACTTTCTTCCCAGACCAGAAGATCATTGAAGGGGAAGTCAAAATGCCCATTGTGATCCTGGGAGACCCTGCCTACCCCTTAATTCCGTGGCTTATGAAGCCATACACGGGGCACCTTGACAGCAGCAAGAAACGGTTCAACAAGAGGCTGAGCAAGTGCAGAATAACTGTTGAGTGTGCTTTTGGCCATTTAAATGCCCTCTGGTGCTGCCTATTTGGGAGGCTGGACCTGGCCGATAACAATATTCCTATGCTTATAGCCATGTGCTGTACACTCCATAATATTTGTGAAGGGAAGGGTGAAAACTTCACTCAGGGCTGGACCGCTGAGGCTCAGTACCTGGAGGCTGAATTTGACCAGCCAGAGACCAGGGCTATTAGAGGGGTGCAGCGCAGGGCTATAAGGATCAGGGATGCCTTGAGGCAGCAATTTGAAGCTGAAAGCCACTAATATTTGTTGCAATGCTCGGGAGTGCAGTGCTTGTAATGCTGGGAGGTGATTGTGATTGGTACAGACGATGCAACATGAAGGTTTAAAATAATTGTCTGTTGCTTTGCAGGGCTCTGTTTGCTTTCAATTAATGGAATAAAGATTGCTTTCAAACCAACACAATTCTTTTATTAAAAAACAACCAGTGGAGAGAGACAAACAAAAAAACACATCAGCACTGAGTGGGATGGGGGAAGGGAGGGTCCCCGGAGGAGGTGGGGTCCCGGGATGGTTAAAGATTTGTGTATGTCCAGATATCATATGCTACCTTGTCCTCTGGAGTACAGCGCAGCGGGTACTGTACTTCAGCAGGGCTAAACTGCAGAGGGATGGGTGCTGAGTGCAGTGGGTACTGGGAGTCTGCAGTGCTGGACTGTGGCAGGGGAGGAGTGGAATGCTGCGAGTACAGACTGGAGCCAGGAGGTTGATAAGAGTGTGTTGGCGGTATCTGGGGGGTGCATGGTATAACGATGCTCGTTCTGGCGGGACCCAACTGAGAGTGCCAATTTAGGACAAATTGCTCAAACAGGGCAGTTACAGCCCAAGCCTGGGGTTTTTCCGCCTCTAAGGCAAACCAAACCAGCCAGACAAAGAGGACTTTGGTCTCACTCCACTGGCTAACCACAAGTCACACAAGCAATTCCCTTAGACACTCCAGTTTCCCAGTATCACCACCACTACCACTCGTTATGGGGACAAATAGTTATGAAAACCAATATCCCAGTAAAAGAAAAAGGTTCTCCTGATCCCAAAGGATCAAGCCCCAGACCCAGATCAATATACAAATTAGATCTTACCCACAAATCACGCTGTTGCCAATCCTTTAGAATCTAAAATCTAAAGGTTTATTCATAAAAGGAAAAAGATACAGATGAGAGCTATCAATTACATACAGTAATGGCAAAGTTCTTGGTTCAGGCTTGTAGCAGTGATAGAATAAACTGCAGGTTTAAAATCAAGTCTCTGGAGTACATCCACAGCTGGGATGGGTCATTCAGTCCATTGTTCAGAGCATCAGTTTGTAGCAAAATCCCTCCAGAGGTAAGAAGCAAGAGTGAAGACAAGATGGAGGAGAGGTATCAGCCTTTTATAGTCTTTTCCAGGTGTAAGAACACCTCTTTGTCCTTACTGTGGAAAATTACAGCAAAATGGAGTCTGGAGTCACATGGGCCAGTCCCTGCATACTTTGCTGAGTTGCAAGGCGTATTTGCCTTCTCTCAATGGGTCAGTTGTATAGCTGATGGTGCTTAATGGGCCATCAAGCAGGCTAGGCAGAGCTAACACCAACTTGTCTGGGATGTTTCCCAGAAGCATAGCATAAGTTTGAAATACAGACAGTATAGAGCCAATATTCATAACTTCAACTACAAAATTGATACACACATATAGACAGCATAATCATAACCAGTAAACCGTAACCTTGTCTTAGACACCTCATTTGACCCCCTTTATGCAAGATTTGGTGCCACTGCAGGACCTTGGTTGCAACAATGATCTATATGGTCCCAGATTATATCAATAACGTCACACATGGGAAAGAGTTTTGTGACAGCGGCTGCAGGGGAGGGTGGACGCGGAGCTGCTCAGTTTGCAGTGCTAGTAGCGCCTGGAACGTGTCCACTTGGTGCTCTATAATGTTTTAAAAAGGGAAGAAAGAGAACCTGGGGAACTACAGACTGGTCAGCCTCACTTCAGTCCCCGGCAAAATCATGGAGCCGGTCCTCAAATAATCCATTTTGAAGCACTTGGAGGAGAGGAAGGCGATCAGGAACAGTCAACATGGATTCACCAAGGGCAAGTCATGCCTGACCAACCTGATTGCCTTCTATGATGAGATAACTGGCTCTGTGGATATGGGAAAAGCGATAGATGTGATATATCTTGACTTTAGAACATAAGAACATAAGAAAGGCCGTACTGGGTCAGACCAAATGTCCATCTAGCCCAGTATCCTGTCTACCAACAGTGGCCAATGCCAGGTGCCCCAGGGGGAGTGAACCTAACAGGCAATGATCAAGTGATTTAGCAAAGCTTTTGATACGGTCTCCCACAGTATTCTTGCCAGCAAGTTAAAGAAGTATGGATTGGATGAATGGACTATAAAGGTGGATAGAAAGCTGGTTAGATTGTCAGGCTCAACAGGTAGTGATATCTAGTTGGCAGCCGGTATCAAGCGGAGTTTTGTTCAACATCTTTATTAATGATCTACATGATGGGATGAATTGCACCCTCAGCAAGTTCACAGATGACACTAAGCTGGGGGGAGAGGTAGATACGCTGGAGGGTAGGGATAGGGTCCAGAGTGACCTAGACAAATTGGAGGATTGGGCCAAAAGAAATCTGATGAGGTTCAACAAGGACAAGTGCAGAGACCTGCACTTCGGAAGGAAGAATCCCATGCACTGCTACAAGCTGGGGACCAACTTCCTAAGCAGCAGTTCTGCAGAAAAGGACCTGGGGATTACAGTGGACAAGAAGCTGGATATGAGTCAGCAGTGTGCCCTTCTTGCCAGGAAGGCCAACGGCATATTGGGCTGTATTAGTAGGAGCAGTGCCAGCAGATTGAGGGAAGTGATTATTCCCCTCTATTCGGCACTGGTGAGGCCACACCTGAAGTATTGCGTACAGTTTTGGTCCCTCCGACTACAGAAGGGACGTGGACAAATTGGAGAGAGTCCAGCAGAGGGCAACAAAAATGATTAGGGGGCTGGGGCACTTGATTTATGAGGAGAGGCTGAGGGAACTGGGTTATTTAATCTGCAGAGGAGAAGAGTGAGGGGGATTTGATAGCAGCCTTCAACTATCTGAAGGGGGGTTCCAAAGAGGATGGAGCTAGTCTGTTCTCAGTGGTGGCAGATGACAGAACAAGAAGCAATGGTCTCAAGTTGCCACCATAGCTGAGATTCTCCTTACCATCAAAGGCCTATTAACAAGAGGCTCCTGTGAGCCACTTCTGCCTCCTCAGTGAGTTTCTACTAAAATAATTCCACCCCCACTCTCTTCTGCAGCTTATTGGCAGCATAAACGTTTCTACACAGAACACCTTGTCTTCCCTCTCAGTCTTGGCTGCTTAGAGATTATACCCATCTATACTGACATTCCACCAAATTCCAGTTACGCCACTGCATCATAGTCTCCATCATTTAGTAGCCCTTCCAGTTTGGCTTGCTTGTTTCTGTGCAGTTGTGTACAAACATTTTAGTACATCGATACTTGTATTATTTAGCTTTTGTTTCAGAAGATTATCATCATCTTCTGCTTTACTTCATAGGCTAGAAGAACAGGCCTAGTCATTTGCGTAAAGCAAAAGCTCCCTTTCTCCCCTTTCTCTACTGAGTTTAAAGGAAGTAGAAGGGAGGGATGAAGAAGGGACAAGCTGGTTGAGTGCTGGGGGAAAGGGAATGAGACTTCAAACTTCCATAGACACTAACAGTCATCTCTGACTCTGCCACAGAGGGAAGGGAAAGAGATGCATCTCTTCCCTATTGCCAGAAACTTCCCTTTCCACCATCCTCTGCCTGGTGCCAAAACTCCCTGCTGTCCCCAATTCAGCTGCAAAAACAACTTCCCCCTGACAACTTTTAAGGCCTTGTCTGCACAAGAAAGTTGCACCGGTTTCATTAAAGGTGTGATCTGAAACTGATTTTGTCAAACTGGTGCAACTTTCTTGTGTAGACAAGGTCTCATATATTTATACATTTTGGGTGAAATCCTGGCCCCATTGACTTTACCTTGAAAATCAACAGCAGACTAAAATTAATTGAATTTAATGTGATTCGCTTACTTTGCATACAAAATGTATTACTTATTTTCATATGTATGTCAGCAAAAACCTCCATTTTTTTTTAAATTCACCAGAATCTGCTGCAGAGTTTCCAGACCGCTGCCTTGGTGTTGCATGAAAACTAGATGTCGTGCTATTGAATTTAGGTCCATCTTGTCCCAGAGAACACCACGTTTGTTAATAGCCTATAGCACATGTATAGCACTTTTCCTATTCAAAACACTTCATGAACATTAACTATTGTAAACAATAAGGCCATCTATAAGGTACTTTACTGATCAATTATTCTGTATTCCTCTAATTATTCTTATAGTTAAATAACACTGAAGATAATATGTTAATTGCATGTACAGTATGTAAGCAGACAGTGCAATTCCTTACAGTATGTTTGGGGATTGGGCTTAAATTTGGAGATGGAATATGTATTGTTTGTACAGTTGTGTGATAAATTACTGGCAAATAGAAGCACAGATGGCTTTGCCCTAAGATCAGGCATCACATGCCAGAAATTATCTGGGAAATTGTCATTTTAAAAATAACTCTAGAACAAGTGCCAAGTTTTGAAGGATCCATGTGTCTAATAAACAGATATAAACATCAGCAGTGTCCAAAGCTTAAGTATATTTGGATTATATTATGGATATGGAAAACATGCACAATTATCACCTATCTGCTAGTAAAAATTAAATCTCTTCATGTATCTTTTGTGCTTTTAATCAGGAACTGGAATTCTTTAATTGCTATGGAATGAATGGACCAAATAGTCACTCTAAATTAAGTTCTAGTTACCTAAGGAAGTTCAAGCAATTATAAAGTCTGGAGAATTTTTGTATTAGTTGTTTAAAGTTATTACACTTTATTCACAGCTCTTATTGTCTTCCAGATTTGTGAGTACTCAGCGCTACTGAAATTCAGGCTTTGAGTTTATTAATACTTCAAAGTCAAATTATTACAGTTTATTAAAGTTGTTGTAACTTTTCAGTTTATTAAAATTGTATTTATTACATACAGTAATTAAACAATGGTTGTTACATTACTATTCCTGATAATAGTCTTTTGCTTCACCAGAAAGTGACATCAGGTTATTCAGGGCCCTATAATTTTCACTATGGTGCAGAGATAAGAATGAACTAGATTGCATTCACTGTGCAGTTAACACTTGTGCTTCTCCAAGGGGTGAGTGCTGCCATGTGTCAGTGACAACTGTCAACTCCTCTCCCCTTCCTCCGCCTCCTCCTCTCTCTGAGACAGGAATGTTGATCTCTCATCTCTGTAATCCATCACCTGTCTAAATCTGTCCTTGTGTCACTTGCATATATGGACAAGTTAGAATGGCAACTTGTGACGTTGTGCTGCTAAAAACGGCTCCAGCTCCCTTCAGCTCTTTGTTTTAACAATGTCCTCCAGTGAAAGAAATTCAAAGGACATTTGATCACACAAGCTGTGGAATTATTTCAAGGAAACTAACCCGGAAACTGATCGACGGTACCCTTTTATTCTGGACATATGCACCTTGGAACAGCTAGGAGATGAGCACTTCTCTGAATTACAAGTCCTTTTCCAAAGAGCAGCAAACCATGGATAACCTGGAGAAACAACTTATTTGTCCCATCTGTTTAGAGATGTTTACTAAACCTGTGGTCATCCTTCCCTGTCAGCATAACCTGTGTAGAAAATGTGCCAGCGATATTTTCCAGGTAGGTTTATTTCAGTATGAAGATTTGCAGGTATAAATATCATTTCCCCAAGGCAAAAGGGAGGGGAGAATTTACACGATCAGTTTATTTGCTGTTAAGAATTTGCAAGTTTTTTAAAAAGGCATAAATAGAAGCTACTTAGACAGGAAACATCTCTGTTTGTCTCTCTCCGCCTGGAGATCTGTGGGGGAAGATCCTCTGCTGCTATGAGTTGTCATATGGTGTTTACATGTATGGTATCCATATATAGAGGCAACTTGTACCAGCAGAGGATCTGCCCCCTTGTCTTTTACATTTTGACCTATTTTTTGCATTTATTTTTATTCAGACTGAATTTTTAATTTCAAGTATTTAGAGCCAGGAAGATGTATCAGAGGCAGGGCCACCTTGGGTTGAGGGGAGCGTAAACGGGACAGTTTGCCCCCGGCCCCCAAAATGATGGAGAGGTGGCCGGGACGAATCTGAGTGAGAGCATTGTGACCTGGTGCCCTGGGTGGCAGTGCCACTCAGGTTTGGTGCCTGCCATTGACAGTGCGGGGAGCCACTTTCCCAGCTTGACCAGGTCCAGATACCACCACTGCCACTGGGCTCATTGCGCCGGGCCCAAGGGAATGCACCAGGCCTGGAGCCCGAAGTAGGAACCAGATCAGAGATACTGCTCCAGAGCTCAGGGAGAGGTGGGATTTGGAACAGCCCCCTAGCTGCATGCAGGGCAGACCCCTCACAAGCCTGGGCCTTCTATGGCACCGTCTCACCCCACCTCCTTAAACTCTTTTGTCTCCATAATAATTTTTTTGGAAGGATGGGGGAGGGGCTTCACTTTCAGATTTTGCCTAGGGCCCCCCAAAATCTCTGCGCAGCCCTGAAAAATGTTTACAAGTATTTAATTTCAAAATCATTTTTGTTCTAGCACTATAGAATGGTATGTTTATCTGTAGCACAGGTTGTTGCAATATTATTAGCTGGCAGGTGCTAAGTAAAGTGATGTTGGGCCATAACTTTCATCTTGGGATTTTTAAGTCAATTGAGAGTCCTGCTTTAAGGGCCTGATTCAAAGATCATTGGAGTTCTGAGAGTGTTTTCACTGACTTCAGTGGGCTTTTGGTTAGATCTGAAATAGGTGGCCTGATATGTGCCTTGTTTTGTGAAAATTAAGGCCATTATTAGAATAACCACAGTGTTTAAAAAAAAAAAGTTAGACATGGCCTTATTCACCTGTAATTTTACTGCTTGGCAAGAACAGGCCTCTAACCCATATCTGCCAACCAGAGGAGGCACCACTATGGCATCAGGTGGTCGATTTCGCTGTCCCTCCTGCAGACATGAAGTAGTTCTGGACAGACATGGTGTGTATGGACTTCAAAGGAACCTATTAGTGGAAAATATCATTGACATATACAAGCAGGAGTCCACCAGGTAACATACTAATTTGTATCCTTAAAATAATATTTACCATACAAGATGATGCAGCTTATGACATTCTCATAGTCTACCTTTCTTTCCTTTGCTTTGTGAGTTGTTAGTTCTGTTTATTTTATTTTATCTTTTGGAGCTGGTGGAGGTTTACTATACTGAGAGACTGGAATGATATCGTAAGTGCCTCTATCTTTATTGTGGAATGAAATCAGCCCTCCCTTATTATTCTATATCACTTGACAGAATGCAATGTTAAAATAGGTGCTGATTTTTTGCTTCCCACATATGGAATCTGATTCTGCAGTCCTTATTCACATGCATGATCCTTAGTCATGCAAGCAGAGTCCTCAAAGTCAATTGGGTTAGTCACATGAGTAAGGAAAGAAGGGTCTCACCCATTTACTCGTCTTACAAATTTTTCAAAACTTGGATGTTCCACAGTTTGTTTTCAGTCCATGTATTCCTGTCTGTAAAAGGTGCCAGCACTTGGTAGGAAGCCCTCACAAATAGAGTGAGAACAAATATATCTGAATTATACTCAGAAGCCATTCTGCATCAGAATACTGAATCATCAATATTTTAAAAAAACACTCCTGTAAGCTTGGGATGTGAACTCATGAAATCAAGTTTTATTTAGGCCTCACTTTCTGTACAGAAGAGAATGAAAAGGCCAAAAATAACAGTTCATGACAACACAGTGTACCTATGCAAAGGAAAACCAAAATCCTGGAGGGGAAGCATGAGTTAACCCTAAAAAGTAAGATTAACACTAAGTCACAACTAGTGGATGCATAGCTGAACCAGCAGTAGAACGTTACCATTTTCTTTCTTACCAAGTGATAAGCAGGAAAGGTGCTCACACGTCACTGATCATACTTCCGTTTAAATCACAGAGAAGAAAATCTAAATAGCAAACCCAGTTCTACAGTCTTGCTCAAGCCAGTAATCCTTATCAACTCAAGCAGACTTCAGTGTGAGTGAGGGGCTGCTTGCAGCATTGGTTTCATGCTGAATGCTGCCTTTTAGAGGCAGGCTGGTTGGTTATTGTTTTCCCTTATTAATTACCAGCTTACAAACCTTTTTGTCAACGAGACCATGTAAGACAGTTTGAGTAGAAAATCACAAATCGACCACAAAGAATGCCAACAAAGAATAGCACATATCCACTGAGTTAGTGGAAACTTTGTCAAATATTTACTTTATGTATCAAACTGTGCCCAGCCCTGTGATGGTGTACAAGGGGAGGAAGGGTAAGGAGACCCAGTTGCAGTTGTTGTATTCCCTTCTGCACAAAAACTGCTCCTGGCTAGCGAATCTAATGACACCAAATGATGCAGGAAGGCAGAGGAGGAGGCAGGGTCATGGTCTTGCATCCTATTCTCCCAACACACACCATTAACTCTGAACGTAGTGACACAGGAGCTGTGCTCCCTGCCAGAGGCACAATGTCTCCCAGTGCAGCATTATGATGCCTTCATGCCTCCCCAAGTACAAGGCTATGGCTACAAGGCATAATGGAACCCTGCATGCCCAATTCACAGCCCCACTCCACCCCTTTTGCACTACTCCGGTGTAGCAAAGGGGCCATAAACTGGCTAGGTTTGGCTCCTAGAAAATACCCCTGATGTAAAGATGTTCTTCAATTGGTGCAGGCTCCTCTACGCTGTCCTTCATTGCAACCCCATGTTGAAGCATGGGTAGAGAGAGGAGTGTGAGGCTGGAGCACTGGCTATCCTTGGCTGTAGAATGGCCCCATGGAACTGCCCCAAACCAAGAAGCTGGGGAGCACAAAGTTGACTGAAAGCTGTATTTCCCTTCCCCCTAGAGCTCAGCTATTCCCATGAATCTCTGTCCCTGAATGTGTCAGTGATATACAGTTAACAGGGAAAATCACAGAGGAAATGAATCAGCAAAGCTACTTCACTGGCTGTAGCAGGCAACAGAACAAGCTGATCATGTGCGGGTCTTTAAGTTCTTTTTGCATTTTTCTATACAGTGTGAGGTTAACTTTAATACTATGGACATTACTCTTTTTTCCACATGAGTCCCTGGCTTTATTCTGAAGCCATTGCAGCAAGAATAGGTAAAAGATCATAAGAGATTTGGTGATTCTTATTTTTTTTAACTTCACAAATATAAAATGCAATAAACTGAATTGAAGAAGAGAACAAAAATATGCATATAAATTTACGTTGTCTCTGTTATTTCTCTGGAAGGATTATTTTTAATATATGAAGGTATTTTTAACCTTCACTTATGTCCTTAGAGTTACACTAATTATCAGGGCTATCCTGGCAACAGTAATGCATCATAGCATTATCTAAGCTATTTGACACGTTGTATGCCTCAGCTGCTTATCTCCCTCACCCTAACTTTTCTAAAGCCATCATGAGTATGTTGCCAGGAGTCACATTGCCTTATTCTATGCTGGTGTCACCCCATTGAAATCAGTGGCATTACCTTCCCAAAAAACTGGGGCAATTTAGGCCTATTACCTTTCCTACATATCTGCCACCTTATTGAGTGATCTACAGTAACTACTCCACTTTCTTTATAAGGCTCTGTAATATAACACCTTCTTTGTCTAATTACTTCCCAAATTAAAGGCTAGGTTTTGCCAGGCCCTTGCCCAGGAGGAGAATGCCAAGAGCCTTCTTCATATCCTTTCCCAGTGCCCCTCTTCACCATTGCAATCCCTGAGCTTTCTTGACCATGGGAACCTCCCACCTAGTGTCCTTTGGGGGATGTCACCCCAAAGGTGGATGCAAGGAGAGGGGCCCATGGCTCCCAGCTGCACTCCACACAAGCCAGTGGAGCTGGCTGGGTGCACAAAGGGGAGCATCCTAAGGGACTGTGTTCCTGGCACGCTCAGCCAATGCTCGCCGGGGTGTGATGGCGCTGCAAAGACCCCAACATGGGCCACTGCCTTACAGGCACAGTCTGGCCTTTATAGAGGCGAATGTTACTTTTTCAGTATTAAATGAAATGACTGGCATTGTTACCAAGTAAAACACTGCATAGTGTGGGAGTCTGAATTTCAATAGAACATTTCAACTGAAGCTTTTTGGCATTGTATAAATCCTGAGACAGTCGCTCATGACTAAACAGTTCCTCCTCTATTCTGGTAGTGTAGTACCCATTCCTGTAAACCTTTATTCAAGTAAGTATTTTTTTTCCTTTAGATTTGCACTGGTGTAATGGAGAGCAGAATCTGGCCCAGAAAGCTTACACATACTATAAGGCGGCATTTATTAGAACAACCATTCTTTATCAGGCTCAATCAATTTTTCCTTTGAATGACAGTGACATGAAAATATAAAATGAGTACACAATGGTCCATATCCTCAACTCATGTAAATCAACATAGCTCCACTTCTGGCCCTAATGATACTAACTGCATATTTGCTAATTTATTATTCCACTTAATTAAACAGTTCATCTTCTCATGCATTAGCTTTGTTTTTAGTTTTTGTTTTGCTTTTTTGTTCCATAAACCCAACACATCAATGATGCAAAGCGCTCTCTGCTTTAAGGGACAAATCCTATCCATGCGCAAAGCAACAGTAAGGAGGCTCTATTCAGGGGATCCAGAAGCGTGGGAGCCAAGATGCATCCCAAGTCAGATCAGGAGCTTCAATACTATTTGTGGATTCTCTCTGAGTTGTAGTTTTAGTGTCTGATCCTACAAGCCATATGCACAGGCATTCTCATGGAAGTCAGTGGAGTATATAATACATGTGTGTCTCATAACCCTAGATGCTAGATCAGCTTAGCTACCAACAGCTTCTTCAATAGGTTTATGATTAATCTTTTACTACTAAAACTAAACTATTTTCCTACTGACTAGTATTTAAATTTTTATTTCAGGAGAATCTGACTTCTGTTACACCAATTTAAATCCAGATGATCTACTTTGAAGTCAGTGGAGTGACTTCGGATTTATGCTGGTATAAAAGAGATCAGAATGTGGCCCAAGGGGCTCTGGTAAAAGTCTCTCTTCTTTTGCAGGGAAGAGGCTTGTAAATTAACAGTATATCAGTTTGTTTCCAGTTTGCTATGCTAGTTTTGAAGGCCTCATTGGTCCAGAGATTTCTGCTGTGGTTTCTTTGAATTCTTTATGATACCTTTTGAAGATTGGCTACTTCTGACAGAGAGTCCCTCAGATCATTGTTGGGTCTACTTGATACCTTTACCTTTTTGACCCTTCTTGTCTGAGTCACATGTGACAGATAACATGCTGATGGTTTATAGTCTTGCAAATATTTTCAGGAAGTGCAGGCATTTCAGTCGTCTTGCCATTTCAATGTTTGCTGTCCATCCACCCAGGTGTGCAGAAACTCCTGCTGCTGCCCCACGGTATACATAGGGAGTTGGGTGTTTTGGAATCATCTGCACACAATTTAAAGCATCCTTTACAATGTATGTGTTATGCAACTGCCTGGTAGAAAATTGATCCTAATAATATAGAATATTTCTAGAAATCTTGTTACTTCATCTTATTATTACTGGGGGGAGGGATAGCTCAGTGGTTTGCGCATTGGCCTGCTAAACTTAGGGTTGTGAGTTCAGTCCTTAAGGGGGCCATTTAGGGATCTGGGGCAAAAATCTGTTTGGGCAGGGGGTTGGACTGGATGACCTCCTGAGATCCCTTTCAACCCTGATATTCTATGTATCCTGTTATATTGCAGAGCATAGATTTTGCTTACTGTACGAACAGACTCCTATAACTTTTGTTTCAAAACCACATGAAATTAAAAACATGGAAGCAGAAAATATTTTCTTTTCAGCTCTTTTTTTCCAACTTTTTAATTTAATTTGTCTTGATTTCCCTTTCAAGTAGCGCAAAAGAGAAATCATGCCTGGTATCCATGAAAAGGAGTAGTTATCCCCACTGTACTAATCTGTATGGAAGAGTTTTATATCATTGAATAGAAATGATAATCTTGTTGTTAGTTTTTGAAGCATCTAATAGAATGTTATGGACAGTTGTTTCCCTACCACAGAATTCTGTACAATGGTTTAAAAGTATGAAAACTAACTCATTCTTTGTTCAGTTCTATAGGTTTTTAGAGTAGTTTCTATAAACTATTAAATTTCTGTGGAGCAATTGTCTTCACCTCTGTTAAATTCTATAGGACTTTTCTATAAGGGAAGCATTGGGAATATGGAATGTGTTAAACAGAGACCCCATTTACACTTGATCAGGACTCAAATTAAAGAAATAGTTTAAATATGGTTCCAACTAAACTGACTCGTTATGCAGACAGATTGGCTAGTTTGGCTGAGGCAAGCCATGCTAAAATGATATTAAAAGTTGTGTTGTAGCCTATGTAGCCCTCCTGTAAACAAGGGGCATTTTTTATGTAAGCTCTATCCTCAGTGGCTAGTATAGCAGTGTTAACTACTCTACAAAGTCCATGTTAGAAACTTGTTGAGTTAAGCTCATTTTAAATACAGTTCCAAACATGATTCTTTAATTTGGTTCCCAGGCTAGTATGGACGGGGCCCAAGGTCTCAATCTTGCATGGTGCCAAGCACAGTGTCTTTAAATTCTTTAATTTGTAACAGGGACTTAATTTGAAGTATATGAAGTTCCTTTGACACCTATGGGACTACTTGTGTAAAATTAAGACCCTGCTTAAGTGTTTTACCAGATCAAGGCCAGATTGCTCAACTTTTTGTATGACTGAGCCCTGAAGACCTCAAGCATGTAGGTGCTGATTCAGAGAGATGTTAAACAACATGCCTAACTTAAGTGCATGAGTAGCCTCACTGACTTCAATGGGTTTACATACTCAGGTACTTTCCTGAATAAGGGCCATACAATGAAGTCATGCTTCCCAGCTTGTCATATTGTGTCAGGAAAGATTACAAGTACCTGCACTTGTTTATTCACCACTGGTTGGCAGGTTTAAACTATTTTGTGGTTATGGACTGAAATCTCAGGTACTGTTTTTATCCCTTTGTTTGTGTTGAAGGACACAGGTGTTGTTATCAAGATCAGTAAAGCAAGTAAGCAAGTGACTATTTTAATGTGTTTAATGATAACTTTCACAGACCTGAAAGAAAATCTGAGCAGCCAATGTGTGAAGAGCATGAGGATGAGAAAATTAATATCTATTGTTTAAACTGTGAAACACCCACATGTTCAATGTGCAAAGTTTTTGGTGCCCATAAAGACTGCCAGGTTGCTCCTCTCAAAAACGTTTATCAGCGACAAAAGGTAAATATCTTTTTGCTTCTAATCATAATGACCCCCTCAATTTAAAGGGACACTGTCTACATGAGATCTAGTCAGCTAAAAAAAAGAAAGTTCAAAGTGCAAAATCTTCCCCTCAGCTGCCCTGCCAATTTTGTGGTTTTACAATTCATATTTCTGTGGTGTTGGTTTTTGGTTGTTTTATTTTTTTAAGTTGTTTTCTCCCCTCTTGCCATGTGAAAGACCCAGACAAATCACCAGAGAAACCGACTCTACAGAGTGAAATATTTTACAAGAAATTGAGAAAAGTTATATTTTTCCTGTCTAATTTCTTTCACTTATAATTACATACATATTAGCTGTAATAATAGTAAGGAAATACTTTCAGACAGACGTGTGATTTTTAAGCTGATCTCCCTTTACTTTTCTCAGACTCTGTTTTCAGTCCTTTTAGGCCATGAGCACAGGCAGGATTGCCAGCAGAAGTGAGGGAGAGAGCAACCCCACTCAAGTCTAATAGTTTTATATTGGATGCTTCTCTTGTTTCTGTTTAAATAGGGATCTTTGGGGGGAAAACCCTCTTTTGCTAGGAATGTTAAATAACTGGCAGCTCTTTGTGTGCCCTGTATCCTCTGCCATTACTGTGACTAGTAAAAGACTTGGTTATTTATTTTTAATACAGTATTCATTTAAAGACTGACTCACTGGGATATCTACACGAGATAAGGAGCTCTGTGTTCCCTCACATTCCTGGGTCCCCCATTCACCCCATGCCAGCAGTTCTGTATGCTCTCCCATTTTCCCCATACCAGGGTCCTCCATCAGTCATCGTCCCCCCCGCACACACACACCAGGGGTTCTGTCTGCACCCTCATTTCCTGCCCCCCATTCCAGGGGCTCTGTGTGGGACACAATTCCTCCTTCCTTCATGCCTCTCCATTGCTCCCTTGCCTTGCACCATTCTTCTTTCTTCTTTTTTTCTCATTCAGTGTGTAAACCTTTTTAAACTTCGTTGGGAGGATGGGCAGAGCTAAGATGAGGGGTGTTGTGTTAGGAGGGATGTATGGCTGCCATCAACCAACAATTACAGAGGTGGTTGAACATGGTAGCTCTGCTAACTGGATGCCAGGGGCTCCATCTATCCCCCATTTCCCTCTTTTTTTTGTTTTTGTTTTTTTGGTTTTCACCATAATCAATGGGGTTCCTGCCCACTGATTCCTCACATATTCCCAGACATTTGGAATGGATTGGGTGTGGCATTCAGAAGTTATTACGTTACAGCCAAATGCTAGCACGGTGAGTGTAAGGCCGTGCAAGCTTGGCCAGTTAACAAATTCATACAAATTATAATTTATTCACAGATAACTCAGGAACAGAAAAAGGAGCTAAATTAATGAATAATTTATTCACTGTGAATAGCTTGCCTGAGACTGCTGCAAAACCAAATTTTTGTACCTAATTACCCACATTGCCTGCTCAAAAGGTGCTTTATGCATGTACAAATGGATATGCCTGTACATTTTTTCCAGTGCATTTTTAGAGGCTTTCAAGGCGTCTCACAATTTTTTAGAAATTTTCATTCCAGGAAAAGTTTCAAATTTTCATTCTAGCTCAGGATGGAAACAAAATGTCAAAATACTAGAATTTTCCATAGGATGGAAATTCAGTTTTTTCAATCAGCTCTAGTTCTGAGCCTTGTGTAGCCCACTCATCCACTGTCTTTGCATCTCAGGTTAATGTGCTATTTTGTGAACAGCGCATGAGAAGAAAGCATATAAAGTAAAACTGCAGACAGTGCATATTATTAACTCTGCATATGCTCATTCTCCTACTCCTGTTTAGTCTGAACTCAGTGATGGCATTGCAGTGCTTGTGGGCAGTAATGACAGAGTGCAAGGAATAGTAGGTCAACTGGAGGAGACCTGCAGGACAGTAGAGGTAAGTAATCCAGCTTGAGTTATGTGTTGAATGTGACATGCAGGAACATATCTGGTTGTTAATGATAATTTTCATGCATTTATATAATTTGCTTCTTCCAACAGGTTCCCAAATTATTTTGCCAAATGACTGTATATATTACAACAGTGCTGCCAAGTCTGATGATACTGTATTGAGTTTCACACTTGCAGGAATTTTTTTTAAGCTTCTCATGATTTCCTCACATCCTGTAGCAATCTCACAAACTATTCCCCTGATTTGTGGCTGTCTCCCGTTACGCATTTATGTTGGTTAACATAAAACATAAAACAAGTTTATTAACTACAGAAAGATAGATTTTAAGTGATTATAAGTGACAGGAAATAGATCAAAGCAGGCTACCTAGCAAGTAAACAAAACTGCAAGCTAAGCATAATATACTAGATAGATGGGGTTTGAATTAGCAATTTCTCACCCTGACTGATGATACAAGCAGGCTTGCAGATTCTTAAGGCACAAGCTACATCTGCCTTGCATCTTGGATTCCCCTCCTCCGTTCCAAGTCCTTTGTCTTCCGGAGCTTCTTTCAGGTGTTGAGTTGTGGGGGAGTGAAGGCCAGTCATGATGTCACTCCCCACTTTATATAGTCTCTCCATATTGCAGGAACCCTTTGTTTTAAGCTAAGTTCCCAGCCTAGTTTGTGGAAAAATACAGGTACCAAAATGGAATTCAGTGTCATGTGGTCTGGTCACATGCCCATGCATTCCTTGCTGAGTCATAGCAGCCATTATCCATAGGCTGTCTGAAGCATTCCCAGGAAGGCTAAGTTCTTCTATGGTTTATTGTCTTTGTTGATGAGCCATCAGCGCGGTCTAGATTCTTCATTGTTGTACCTGAAATGCTAGTTCTTCTTCGAGTGATTGTTCATGTCCATTACACATTAGGTGTGCGCATGTTGCGTGCATGGACGTCGGAAACTTTTTCCCTCAGCGGCTCCTGTCGGGCCGGCAGGGCCCCCTCCTCCCCCGCCAGAGCGGCGCCCCGCTCTAGCGTATATATATCCCTGTGGGCCCGACCCTCCCTCAGTTCCTTCTTACCGTCCGTGACGGCGTTGGAACAACTCTGTCTCTCGCTTGAGAGTGTCCCTTAGCATTAATAGTTAGTGTTCTTCTTAGCAGTATCAGTTCTTTAGTACCTAGTGTTAATCTTAGTAGTTAACAGTTCTTTAGTAGTAGTTAAGCTCCTTTGTGTTAGGTGTTTGGTCGATCCCAACACCGGCCCTGGGCGGCGGGGCATGCCACATGCCCAAGGCTTCAAGGCTTGTGCCACGTGCCACAAGCCTATGCTGATAAGCGATCCCCACGACTCGTGCCTCCGTTGCCTGGGGGAAGCACACCAAAAAGAGCGCTGCAAGATCTGTAAGGCCTTCAAGCCCAGGACTAAGAAAGAGACGGACTTTCGCCTTAAGCAGCTGCTCATGGAGGCTGCATTACAGCCCTCCATTTTGAATCAGGCCACAGCACCGTCAACTTCGGTACGGAGTGCCCCGGCATCGGTTCCTGATCCGGCACCGGCGGGACACCATAAGCCGACGGCACCGGCACAGCAAGACCGCCCCCAGCACCGGTCATCTTCGCCGGCAAAATCGAAGGGCCAACCCAAGGCCCGAGGACACTCCCCACATAAGAGGGCAGCGCCCGCGAAGACCTCGAATGCGCCTAAGGGAGTGGCGACCCCAGAACAGATCCTGGTGCCAGTGGCTCCAGCGCTGAGGGGCCCATCGAGCCCCGGAATAGGCGCATTGAGTGAGGAGGAAGGGCTGGAGGAGCTTTTGGAACAGCCCTCCACGCCGGACATGTTTGAGGCAGCAAAGGACTCATCGAATTGTCCGCTGTGGGCCCCCTCCAAGCCAAAGATAATCCGCCAAGATGGCTGTCCAGAGGCAAGCCAGCAATGGCACGCCCATCACGGTCACCATCTCGGCACCGTTCACGGCGCCATTCCCGGTTGAGCTCCGCCTCGGTGGACTCCCGGCTACCCTTGGCGCAGAGGGCTGCACAGCTGTTGGGCCCCAACAAGCGCCCGGCACTGACCCAGCAGCCCTACTCGAGTGGGCACTGGGACGTGTCACATTTTCAATTCTTGGGCATCAGTCTCCAAGTTTAAGGACTCCCTGCCCCAGAGTTCACAACCAGAGTTCGCTGCCCTGGTGGACGAGGGGAAGGCAGTAGCCAAAACCTCTTTGCAGGCCTCCCTTGACTCCGTGGACGCAGCAGTCAGGACAATCGCATCAGGAGTGGTGATGAGGCGCTCGGCATGGCTACAGGCCTCCGGCCTTCCCCCAGAAGTACAAAACACCTTGCAAGACATCCTGTTCGAAGGGGCAGGCTTGTTCTCAGACCAGACGGATGCCCGATTGCATAGCCTCAAAGACTCTCAAGCAACCCTCAAGTCGTTGGGAATGCACACCCCAGTGACACAGAGGAAACCCTTCAAGCCCCAACCGCTGCAGAGGCAATACCACCCTCGTCCTAGACCGGAACCGTACCGCAGAAGGGGCAGAGATAACAGGCGTAGATGTAACAACATGCCTAACCAGGGCCAAAACCACGGCCAAGGCAAGCCGCAGCCGGGAAATAAGCAAGGGTTTTGAAGCTGCGTTCGAGGACAGCGTACCGACCCTTATACCGGATCCTCCTATATGTTTTAGGGACCGCCCGTCCCATTTTTACCGTGCTTGGTCCTGTATAACATCGGACCGTTGGGTCCTTCGCACGGTGGAGGCGGGATACACCCTTCAGTTCTCCTCGCCCCCTCACTCCCACCACCCATCCCCGTCCCTCTTCGGGGACCCCTCTCACGAGCAACTCCTTATGCAGGAGGTGCGGACCCTCCTCAAAGTAGGAGCAGTGGAAGAGGTCCTTCCGGACCTAAGAGGGAAAGGGTTTTACTCCAGATATTTCCTCATTCCCAAAGCAAAAGGGGGCCTCCGTCCCATTTTGAACCTACGCAAACTAAACAAATTTTTGGTCAAGGCACGTTTTCGTATGGTCTCCCTTGGCGCTATTATCCCATCCCTGGATCCGGGGGATTGGTACGCTGCCCTCGATATGAAAGATGCGTACTTTCACATCGCCATCTGCCCGGCCCACCGGCGGTTCCTGCGCTTCACCATCAACCAACACCATTTCCAATTTATGGTCTTGCCCTTCAGCCTAGCAACGGCCCCGCGAGTGTTCATGAAATGCATGTCTGTGGTGGCAGCCTTTCTTCGAAAAAGAAAGATGCGGGTATACCCGTACTTGGCTGACTGGCTCCTCGCGGGCAGGTCAGAGGACTAAGTCCGCTCCCAGGTGGCACTGGCATTACAGGTATTCCACAAGCTCGGTTTACTGGTCAATGTACCCAAGTCCTCACTGATCCCCACACAGAGACTGGATTTCATAGGAGCAGTCCTGGACTCGGTGGCGGCACGGGCAAGCCTTCCAGTGTCACGGTTCCTGGCCATTCAAAGGGTCATAAGCTCCATCCAACAATTCCCCACGGCCAGATGCTGTATGCAACTCTTGGGACACATGGCGGCTTGCACACATGTAGTCAGACATGCCCACCTAAGACTCAGACTGTTACAGTTGTGGCTGGCCCAAACGTATCGCCCCAACAGAGACCCCTTAGACCTAGTAGTGACAATCCCAGCGCGGCTGTCGAACTCCCTCCGCTGGTGGCTCGATCAGCAGCAGGTTTGCGAAGGAGTCCCTTTCCCCACCCCGCAACCCACTCTGACTTTAGTAACAGATGCATCGGACCTGGGCTGGGGGGCGCATCTTGGGGACCTGCGGACCCAGGGCTTATGGTCCAGGGAGGAAAAGTTGCTTCACATCAATCTGAAGGAGTTAAGGGCAGTTCGCCTCGCCTGCCAGACCTTTCACGCTACCATAGAAGGCCACAGCATGTCAGTTCTGACGGACAACACTACTGCCATGTTCTACATAAACAAGCAGGGCGGGTCCCGATCCTCTCCCCTCTGTCATGAGGCACTCCTCCTATGGGACTTCTGTATAGCCCATTCAGTCCACTTGCTGGCAGCATATCTTCCAGGGGTCCAAAACGGGTTAGCGGACCACCTCAGCAGGTCCTACCGCATGCACGAATGGACTCTGAGAGAGGACGTCCTACATTCAATCTTCTAGAGGTGGGGGTTTCCCCAGGTGGAACTCTTCGCCACCAAGGACAACAGCCAATGCCCGCAGTTTTGTTCATTCCAGAACCTCAGCCCGGGCTCATTGGCAGATGCCTTCGCGATTCAGTGGGGCGGGAGCCTGAGGTATGCCTTCCCACCATTCCCGCTCATCCACAGGGTCCTGCTCAAGACCCGCAGGGACAAGACGACAGACATCCTCATCGCACCAGCGTGGCCACGCCAGCATTGGTTCACGACCCTGCTGGAACTGTCTGTGACCGCCCCGATTGCCCTCCCCCTCCATCGTGACCTCATCACGCAGGACCGCGGTCGCCTACACCACCCGAACCTACCGTTGCTACATCTGGCTAAACAATACAGAACACAGGTGCTCCCACCAGGTCCAGCAAATTCTTCTTGGTAGTAGGAAGCCCTCCACAAGAGCGACCTTCCTTGCCAAATGGAAGAGGTTCTCCCACTGGTGTGAGCCTCATCACATACAGCCTCTACAGGCCTCCGTCCCATCAATACTGGACTACTTGCTGCACCTCAAGCATCAAGGGCTCGCCCCCGCCTCAATTAAAGTGCATCTGGCCGCCATATCGGCGTTCCACCCCAGAGAGTTGGGGGTTTCGGTGTTCTTCAACCCCACAGTAGTCCGATTCCTCAAGGGGCTGGAAAGGGTCTTTCCCTACTTGCGCCCGCTGGTCCCTGCATGGAATCTTAACCTGGTCCTAACTAAACTCATGGGGCCGCCCTTTGAACCCCTAGCCTCTTGCTCCCTCATGCACCTCTCGTGGAAGGGGAAGGTAGCGTTTCTAGTGGCCATCACATCGGCTAG